ATTATTAAATTTTTTAAATTTTGCAAATTACTTTGGCTGATTAATGCGTCACAGCCTGGCACAAGTTCAAGGCATATGTTATCTGGCAAGCAGGGTTGGCAATAGAGTTTAATGGAGCATAATGAAGCTGCGAATGGAACCAATGCTGCTCTGAATGGAGCAATAGATACTAGCTTTTTTGAGCACCATTTGCACAATAATTGAGCTCCATTGCCAACTCTGCTGGCAGATATTATGTATACACCTATGAAACATTTTTTGCAATAATGCTGTAATTTATATTAAAATAAGTCCGATTTTTGCATTAATGATGTGAAACTTTTATCCGTTAGTTTTTACATAGTTCTTGCCAAATAACTATATATGATTTTATCGATGTAACTAAATCATGTTGCTCAAGATATTGTTTAAATGATTGTTTTGGCTTTTAAAAATATAACGTTCTTTATTTTGTGAATTCAATACAATAAATATTCTCAAATCAAAATGAAGTCAAAACGAAAATCAAAGCGAAAATCATAAATTTTAAAGTTTTTGTCAGAAAGAATCTAAATAAAAAAAAGTTATTTTAAACAAAAACTAATAAAACTCAACAATATCTTAAATTTTATTGTACTTACACGAAGTTTAATGAGTGTAGTTATATTTTTACTCAAAAGATGGCTGTCATATCTTTGAATCCTTGGTGGGAAAATACACTCAGCAATTTTTTGAAAAATATACAATTCTTTACCTCCAATGCAAAGAGTATAAACTCTCATTTCAAGTGCTAAAAATAACCAAAATTAATATCTTTAAAGAAAATCTATTTAAATATAAATACACATAACTTATAAATTACCTGAGGTAACAATAGCAATTACTTTGAAATTCAAAATCCTGAACAGATTGCGAATTGCATAATGTTAAATTATTATGAATACGTCGAATCATATCATGCAGCAATGTACATGATTTATTGGTATCTCCCAATTCTTTCTTTTTTATCATTCAATGATAACAGCTTCCCATGCTTTACAATGAAGAATTCTACATTGTATTTTAAATTTGTAATCGTAATGTCAGGAACGAGTGCATGTAACAAATTATCAGAAAGCATTTTTAAACAATCTTTTCGTTCTTTGTTCGCAAGTAGCTCTCTAAAAAAATATAAACATGTAACATTTTTTTTATTGTCATATTTTTTGAAATTAACGCATAAATAACTTACTTTTGTGCCATGACAGAATAATTTTTATTATAAAAGAGGTCAAAAAAGATCTCAAACATTAGTGCGCTACTTATGTGACCTTCTGAGCAATCAAAATCCCAATAGCAAGCTTCTAAGCTAAAAAACCTCCAACTATAACAAGACAAATAAATAATAGTTATAGTTAATAATTAATAAAAAAAAAATATTGTTTATTCAAAAAGAAAGTACAACTTACATTTTTTCATCCAAATTTCTAATAAAGTTTAACATAGACGCTTCAAGATCTTCAGAAAATAAATCGTCTTCCTGATACCAGGATTTTATAAAACACGTCGCATCTTCTATATTTGACATCTGGCTTATTTCGTTGATTCTTTGAATAATTTTATCACCAAGATCGGTTGATGATACTAAATCATCTAAATTTTGGCGATACTTTTCTGAGATCAAATTATATGGATAATTTTGGTACAAGAGGTCATCGA